CTGTCGGAAAGGCGACCTATGTACATCCCTGAACGTGCCGGCTCTCCGAGCCCCCTTCCCCGCACCCCCGCGGGAAGCTCCGGCCCCCCCGCCCCGGCCCCGGCTACGAGGTTTGGCACTGGACGTGTTGGCGCATGCCATCCTCGAAGTCGTCTTCGTGGTAGGCTTCGCCGGCGTAGTGCCGCCTGCCCGGCCCGCCGTGGGACGTGTAGTCGCTGAGTTCTACCTCCTCCGTGTCCTCGGTGGCCATCACCTCCTCCTGGGGCGGGAAGAAGGCCTGGAGCTGGCGCAGGCGGTCGGTGGGCAACCAGCCGGGCTCGGGGAACTTCACCTGCGACCGGAGAGGGGAGATGGAGGCGTCAGATGGACACGAGGGTACCCAGTGGATGGGAACCCCGGTGCCAGCTCCTCACCTGGAACTGCAGGATGAGTTTTCCCTTCTGGAATGGGCTCCTGTAGACGGGCATCCCCTCGTTGGGGACACACTTCAGGTCTCCGGGTCGGATCACGTCACCTAAGATGAGGGATTGGGGTTACCTCGCTGCCACCGGCAGCTCCTGGCACACTCCTGGCATGGCATGGCACAGGGGGCATGGCGGGGACGCCCACCCCGTGCCACCCCCTGGCACCTGGCTGGGAGGAGATGAGCAGCGTCCTGTTGTCCAGCGTGCGGATGACCTGTCGGCAGCCGCACAGGGCGTCTGCCAGGCTGATCTCCCTCTTGACGATGAGGTCGTCGCCGCTGCGTCGGAAAACGGGGTGTTCCTTCTGATCCAGGACGATGATGATGTCCCCAGGCTCCAGGCCAGGAACCTGGTCTCCTTCCTCATGGAAGGTGATTTTCTGCCCGTCCTTCATGCCTGCAGGGAGCGTGGGGAGACAGCTCAGGGCGCGGGGGCCGTTTTGGGGGTGACCTCACCCCCCACGTGGCCCCGTCTCACCTTTATCCAGGTGAACGCTGAGGATCTTCTTCTCCCGCACCACTTTGCGGCCGTTGCAGG